GGTGACCGGCCGGCGAGAACTCCAAGAGGCAGAGATGATTCCTTCTTCGCGCAGATCACGGAAATGCAATCTGTACACTCTAAGGGCTCAATTCGCAAATTTTCAAATAAATCCCGAATTTAATGAAATGAATGAATTATGAGTATTTAATGGATTTAAATTGGAATGATTATCAAAATGTAGTTCATGAATATTAGTATAATATTGATATTGAAATAAAGAATTTTAGCTAATAATTATTAAGTTAATTTTCAGAATTTTTAAGAAGTATAAATAGGAGAAATTTATAATATGGTATAGATAAGTAACTAATGATATTATGGAAATTAAAAAATTAATTGGTGTGATAGGATTATTCAAGTGCCCTATGGTGTGTCTGCATGGTATGACTACTAATGATGGTTATGGTGGACGAGATCAGGTTATCGTGAATTTACTCGCATGGATTGGGCTGTGTGTTGACATGTGAAAAAATATAAAATCTGGTTAAATAGTACAGTTTATAGAGAAATGCTGTTGAATTTTCGGCGAAACACCGAGAATTAAATTAGTTAATCCTTAATATGTAGTACAACAAAAAATTATTATCGTTATTAATCTTATTATTATTCAATTCGTATTATTATAAAATACGTAATTAACGAATAACTAAACGTTTTATTTAAAGATGATAATTAGAATAAATATTAAAATAAGAAAACTATATATATATATTATATATTTATATTTATATTATATATATAATATATATATTATATATATATAGATTTTAATAACGTGAATTAACATGACTGGTTAACCAAAACTAAGAAACGAATGTGAATTAGAATTTCTCGAATTAGAATCTTATCTTAGAATTTTCTTGTTTATTTAGAGGTTTTATAAAAATTCCGCAAAATACGAGGGCAAAAGGCTGGAAAAGCATGCAGCTATAAACGCAGTCCTTTTAGAGGACAATAAAGAACTGTTGAGTTAGTGTTAGATAATTTCTGCATATCCGCCTGCAATTTGCCATTCATGCCATTCACGGCCTAAATGGTTATTCATACATTTTTTTGTTTAAATTGCTATATTGTGCTACACATTTATTACGATTAAATATTGCTTATTTAGTTGTGATTGGTGAGATTGTTGGCTTGTTTCTGTGAATTGGGATGAAGTGAGTCCCTCTGATTTTGTGAGGACGCGTCTATGAAATATGATCGGAATAATGAATGAATATAATGATTATGATACAACTATCGGCAAATGTTGCTACCGTCGGATCGCGTATAGAGATCGGCGGCCCCCGTGTGCACTTGATGATATCATGAAAAGAAAGGAGGAGATTTGGAAAAATAATGCAGAGGGCTGGTCAATTGTGAGGATTAAAAAACCACTTCGCCGCCCATAGCTATAGGGGTGATGCGCGCTCCTCTGGTCGCCACACGTTTATGAGACGGGTGGAGGACGGACCTCGATCGGGCGCGGGTTTTCAGTGACGGCTACTGCAGTAATGTTTTCCAACTTATTGAAGATTCGTGGAAAATAAATTGTGATTGCTGATCGTGTATTGCCATTGTGTATAGGACAACACGTGCTATGATTCATATAATTACATGGTGGACCAGATAAAAATATTTTTAGCATCTGTGTGATTGTGTGGGGTGAGAGGGTTATCTAACCTTACTCATTTGAGTTTTTTTGACGCTCACCCCTGCCACACTATTTTTTTCAGAAAAGCCTATGAGTATTGAAACACTTATTATATATGAACTGTATTTTGATACGTATGCTGAAATAGTTAATGGGCCTGCAATCCACAATTATGAATAGAATGTGAGTTTTTAAATAATTTAGGTTTACTACGGGCTTCGAGGGCCTTTAAACCCACCCAGTCCTAGGTGCCGGTCCGGCCCGCAGAAATGCTCGCTCATCGTTGACACAGATACGCCTAACTAAATCCACGTTACACAGCTGCGAAAACACACAGGCTAAATTTTGCCTGGAACTCTCTTTTGCTAGACAAAAACAAGAACACCGAATTATGGAGTCAATATCATAGAAAAACTTGTCAAATCTATGGATCCTATACTTGCCATCTAATTAGGAAGAGAGGATTACCGTTTTGATTTACTAAAAATTGAAAAATGCAATGTTACTCACACATATTTATATATATTTCCAAGTTTATTAAATCACAAGTTTTCATATCACATTCCTATCCTAGGCCACTGACACACTGCTAAGTGAAACAAAACGGATTTCTAGCATAATAATTTCAGAGAAGGAGTAGAATATCCCTAGCAATTTTTCACTTTGGCCCGATTCAGAAGTCAAGAGGTCTCCTTTAAAAACTTGGTGTAATAGGACTCGCGAACCTCTTAAGCAATACAGAAAGCTCAAAATTATTCTGCCCATTAACTTCCATTGTTTTCAATAGTGGCAAGGTCGCACTGACATTGTCAAAATAAATACTTTTTCTATATAATTATCATTTTCTTTTTAATTGTAATAATCCCATCCCTGTTCTCACTTGGATATTACTAATAATAATTAAATTAGAAGTTGTATTGGCTGTTGTCTAACATTAATGATAATTTACTTTGTTAATTGTCGGTTAAAAGTAAATTATATTTTTAATTGTCAATATAATTAATATTGCTTTCACAAAAAATGAACCCCAACAAATTATTTTTTTTTCTAATCCAACAAATCTACTATTTTGGTTTTACGAAATTTTATGATAACAATAAAAAAAATCTTATTAGAGATTTTATGGCGGACATGCAAATATTTTGAGAAGAGATGTGGAGAAAAAAACACAAAGAAAATAACAGAACATTATGAAAAATTTAAGAGAGATTTACATATTCAATAAAGTAATTACATTAACCATATCGTTCATTCTTAAAACCAACAAAGATTTAAAGAGTGACTTACGGAAGTTTGAACTTGAATGAAACATAAAACATTGTCTCTCTAGAAAAATATTGACCAATTTGTAATGCATAACCTCAACAAACCAAAACCATGCTCGTCGCCAGAGGGTTTATCCCGCCAGAAACTGCAGCTATTTGACAATCAGTACCATCACGTAAAGCTACTGAAAGCTAATAAAGAAAATATCATGTCTAGAAGCATTCTCCTCTTGTTTTTCATCTGCTTGAAACTCCAGTCTCCTCTTGTTTTTCATCTGTTGAAACTCCAGGCATCAATGGTGGTGATAATGTTGCACTGCAAGTATTTGGTAATGGAAGACCACAAAGATAAGGATTTCCCTCGTAGCTACTCTTATCAAATGTGGCAAATTGAGCGACTCTATCAGGTGTCTTTCTAAATAAATTGTTATATGCTACACTGAAAGCTGCTAAATAAGTTAGTTGAGCAAACTGAGTAGGGATTTTCCCATTCAACTTGTTATAAGAAAGATCTAGACTCTCTATCTGACTGAGGTTGGAAAATGTTGATGGAATTTGTCCCGTCAAACTATTGTGAGAAAGGTTCAACACTTCGATCTCCTCAAAATTTCCAATTTCAGGAGGAATTTCTCCTGTCAATTTGTTGACAGAAAGATCTATTCCAGAAAAGTAGAAGAGAATGCTTTCTTGAAAAGGATATGTCATCCACTTTGTTGTAAATTCTAGATGATTTGGCCGAGGTTCTGCAGGACCTCGGTTATACATTGTTGATCCACCTAATTTTTGCCATCTCAACTTTAGACAAGGAAGGATATGACCAGAAAGATTATTGTTAGACAAATCAAGTAACTGTAAAAAGTCCAAATTGCAAAGTTGGTTTGGAATTTGACCTTCAAAATTGTTATAACTCAAGGAAACATAGCTTAAAGAAGAAAGTCTCTCGCCAATCCATTTTGGAATGGTTCCGTTCAATTATAACTCAAGGAAACATAGCTTAAAGAAGAAAGTCTCTCGCCAATCCATTTTGGAATGGTTCCGTTCAACAAATTATTTCTAAGATCTAATACTTGCAATTCAAAGCAATTGTAGAATGCCTTGGAGATTGTTCCTTGTATTCTATTTTCAGATAAGTAAACATGAAATAATTGTGGAGGGTTGAAGTTTGATGATAGATTTCCAGAGATGATGTTTCTTGAAAGGTCCAAAACTCTAAGAGAAGGCATGTTGCCCATCCATTCTGGTATAACACCTGAGAGATGATTATCACTGATAGCTAGCAATTCCAAGAGGGAACAATTGGATAAGCTGTTAGGGATATTTCCTGTGAATTGATTTCCATCCAATTTTAAATATTTCAAGAAGCTGACATTGCTAAATGAATTGGGCATGCTATCACTGAAATCATTATTGGAGATATCTAACCTTAATAAGCTCGTATGAATCGGCAATTGAAAATGTCCTGAAAGAGAATTATTGGCTAAATTAAGTTCTTCTAGTTTTGTATTGTTCTTTAACAACCAAATTGGAAAGCTTCCCTCCAGTTTATTATGTGAGAGATCAACGTCTTTTAAGTTATGCTGATAGTAGAGAAATCTGGGAAAGACTCCATCATATCCCACACTAGATAACATAAGACTCTCTAATTGGATTCTCTAATTGGAATTTTTCTTTTCTGTTGTTGGAATCGAATCATATACTTTTAATTTCTGATAGACCTCTTTTCCCCTCCCTAAAAGTATTTGAGTATTTGTATGGTTTGAAGAATTGGAACCAAGTGAAATCGGAATTTCAAAAGTGATTGTTTGAAAGACTTAAGTATTGAATGGATTGTCAAATCCAACCAAGGGGGAAAATATTTTTCCAGTAAAAATGATTGTTTAGAAACATCTAATTTGAAGGGATGTCATATTTGCCAAGCACCTAAAGGGATGTCATATTTGCCAAGCACCTAGGCAATGTACCATTTAGATCATTAGAGCTCATATCTAGAAATTGGAGATGTTTCAACTCGCATATGCCTGCAATTTATTTATAATTAAAAACTTTAATTGTGTGATGTAGAGAAGAATAAGAACAGGGAGAGAGAGAGAGGGATGACCAATCTTACCTGAGGCCACTGGCATAGTGCCATTGAGTCCACAGTTGCTTAATGATAAATCCTTAAGAGAGGTCACTTTTGCAATTACTTGCAGGATGTCGTTGCTACTAGAGGAATAATCCATTTGTAAAGTTTCTAGGCTCTTGAAATTTGGCAATCCTACAATAATAACAGTAATAAGAAATTTTTAAAATAAGACACATGTTTGAATTACTATTACAGTGAAATAGCTAATCCGCCTTTCAAAAGTTAATTTAATAGTCCTTCTATTTTAACTCTATGCATGTTAAAGATCTCTATCTTCAAAAAAGATTTTAATAATCAGGGTATTTTATGAATTTCCAATAATAAAATCTTTTTGATAATTTATTAAATTTTCAATTATAAGGTCCTTTGATGGATATGAAGAATACCAACTAATTATAATTTTTAAACAAAAATTACATTTATTAGATATTTTGATGAGTTATTAGTTAATTAATCAATGCAAAAGGTACACATTATAATGAAAGGACTACGAATACAGTCTGACAAATATAAAATGTAAGAAGCATTGAATTCATTTATTAAAAGAAATAAATGTAATATACTTATAACACACCAAGTAATTCACACAATTATCAAAACCTAAAGAGGTTAATTAATAATGAATTACCTTGAGCTGGTAGGGTGTTTTCTAGAAAAGACAGAGATAAAAATTTAAGAGAAGGCAGTGCTCCAAGACTTTGAAGGGAGATTTCACTCAACGATGAATCGTCGAGTATCAATTCTTCCAAGATGTACATATCATGCGACTCTGTTTGAAAACAACAACAAATGTTTTATTTAAGACTCGGAATCAAATACAGTTACAAAAATTTTATGCAATTTACCTTGAGCAAATATTTTTCCTTTGAAATCATTTTCTCGTAAAGAGAGAATCTTTAGATATGGAAATGCTCCCAATGATTGTAGCAATGAAGAGCTTCTTCCATTTGTGGTGATGTTATCCAGAGTTAGTTTGCTTAACTTGCTTAGACCTCTTGTGTCTGCAAAATGAGAAAAGATTATATATGATCCTTGATTTGATTTAATTAATCAAGTTTAAATTTAAGTTACTTTGGTACCTTCCTTTTAGTTACTTTGGGTACCTTCCTTAAGCTTCAAACTTGATTATTTGATTTCCGCTCAAATCCTAGCTCTTCTAAGTTACTCAGACCTCAGACCATCCAATTCTGGACAATTCAAAGCGACAACTAATTAGATCATTGTAAAAGTTCAATCATATTGCTTTATCTAAACAAAATAACTATAATTGACTATAATTGACTGACCTTTCATGTGAAATATCCCGTTTAGATAATTATAACTTAGATCCAAATATTTCAGAGATGGAAATCTCTTGGGAGATGAGAGCAAGTTGTTATTGCGATTGTAACTCAGATCAAGACGTTGCAGATTGGGTAAACCTGAATTGTTTGTATTACAAATTGAAAAGACAGAGGTAAATTGGGTAAGACGTTAAAACTCGTGAGCTAAACTCAATTGATTAATTAATAATCTTAAAATTTTTATATATCATTTCGAAAATGAATTATATAATTTCGAAAATGAATTATATATATATATATATATATATATATATATATTAATATATAGTATATATATATATATATATAAATATATATAAGACCCATCTGAAAGAAGGAAATCCTTTGAGATATGAGAGCAAGTATTGTTTATGTGATTACTACTCTGTTATATACTCCAATCCTAGGAAAGTAAGAAATTGCTTAATACTTGTTGTTATTTCTTTCAATTAATTTTTAAATAAAAGAAAAAAACATAATAAAGATAAATTCATACCATGAGAGAATTTCCGCCTTCATTTCATTTCAGATAAATGCAACTTCCTCCAGCTTGTTAAATTACTCAATCTGCCCTTTGCATGATCTTAATTAATAATAGGTTTTTAACTTGAAGAGGTAAAGAGAAGAAGAAATTAAAAGGAGGAAATTGAACTCACTTTGATATTAATTATTCCTTTGAAATTCTATTGGTCGTTTAATATAAATATTTTTAAAGATGACATGTTGAACATTAACCTCCCTACATTAAGGAGAATTCACTAATCACTATCACTATAAATATCACTATCACTATAAACTACATAATAGCCTTCTGCGGTGATTTTGTCTAAGATATTTTATTATTTAGACAATTATACTGAAATAAGTGTAAATATTATCTCTAATATTATCTCTAATAGTACATAATAGCCTTCTCTAAGCTTGTTAAATTACTCAATTCTGCCCCTTTGCAATGATCTTAATTAATATCGGTTTTACTTGAAAGAGATAAAAGAGAAGAGAAATTAAGGAGAAAATTGAACTCACTTTGAATATTAATTGTTCACTTTGAATATTAATTGTTCCTTTGATTCTATTATCCCATAAATATAAATATTTTAAAGATGAAAAACCACTTAGAGAAGGCAATATGCTCTCATTGAATTTATTATCACCTAAACCCAGAGACTCCAAATTGGAAAGACTCGATAATCTTTCAAAACCTGAAAAGGAAAATCAATTAATTGATATGTACCAGATAAATAAAAATTAAAACTATGCAAGATATATTTGGATTTTAGGATCTATATATAATAAATATAATTTAAAAACGATGAACAAAGAGAGTAGGACTATATTATATATTAGTAATATATATATATACTCATAATATTTGGAAAGTATAATAGTAATATTTACTATTGAATATCTTTATCTATATTCTTCCACCACTCGCAATTATCATACCAACACAACGCAGGAGGAAAGGCCCCATAAAAATGCATAAATGATTCCGATGCACTGAAAGGAGTCTGAGACTCTGATTGAAAATTATCTTTTCTTTAGGGACTTAGGGAAGAATTTTGTACGAAAGATCACACATTAAACAATTCCTGATATATTTTTATGATGCAAAAGTGCCACTTTATATATACCCTCATTTTCAACACAGCCTAAATGCTATTTCCATCTAAGGCGAGACTGTTCAATTCTTTGAAGGGAAGAAATTTGAAAGATCACAATTCAATTCATAATTTGAAAATGATTCTATTTAAATGTTTTTTTATAATTTTGTACTTTTTAACACTAAAATCCAAATTTATATTTATTTCAAATATTATGCATATGTCTAAAAATTAAATCCAAATTTAAATGGTAGAGGTAAATTGGGTAAGAGGTTAAAACTAATAAGATGAAAATGTATGATATGAGAATACTTGAGCTTAGGCTAACTAATGTTAAAAAGTTAGTACTAACTAATTAGTTAACTAGCTTACTATCCTTACCTTTGATGAATATAATATTTAGTCGATGTGGAATTCTTAACCATTTGGGCATATATACAAAGCGTCCATTTACTTAAATTAAACAAAAATAATTAACTATATAAAAAATCTATTAGGTAGTCATCTCCTCTCCATTTCCAAAATGAATTTTATATATCAAAATTAAAATCTAAGATTCTTTCATAATTTCTTATGTTAAGTGTTCCTTTGAGTGAATTATATATATATTAGAACAATCCGAGAGATGGAAATCCCTTGAGATATGAGAGCAAGGTATTGTTTATGTGAGTACTACTCAGTTATATATATCCAATCCTAGAAAAGTAGAAATTGCTTAATACCTGTTGTATTTCTTCAATTAATTTTAATAATCAATTAATTTTAATAAAAGAAAAAGAAAGCAATAATAAAAGATAAATGCATAACCATGGGAGAATTCGAAACCTTCATTTCATTTCCATTATTAAAGAATTCGAAACCTTCAATTTCATTTCCATATAAATGCAACACCTCCAAGCTTGTTAAATTACTCAATTCTGCCCCTTTGCAATGATCTTAATTAATATAGGTTTTACTTGAAAGAGGTAAAAGAGAAGAGAAATTAAGGAGGAAATTGAACTCACTTTGAATATTAATTGTTCCTTTGATTCTATTGTCCGATAAATATAAATATTTTAAAGATGAAAAACCACTTGGAGAAGGCAAGATGCTCTTGTTGAATTTATTATAACCTAAATTCAGAGACTCCAAATTGGAAAGACTTGATGATCTTTCAAAACCTGAAAAAGAAAATTCTATAAATTGAAATTTATTAGATAAATTAAACTAAAACTATGCAAGAGATCTATGATATACGAACCTTTTTTCAACACAGCCCAAAATGTTACTTCCATACAAGTAGAGACGTTTCAATCCTTTGAAGGGAAGAAAGAAAGAGGCATTGAGATACCAATCTCCCAATTCCTCATCCCTCCTAGCATAGAGTAAGGTTACTCTGCCGGTAACGGGATCACAGCTCACATCGCTCCATTGACAACAATTGAAATTATCGTTATGCCAAGACCGCATATTGTAAACCTTGCCGTTAGGATGATTAAAGTAAGCTTTGAGGTTTAATAAAGCAATTCTCTCATCCTCCAAGCAACCGTTACACCACCACTTTCCTTCCAATAACAAAATTATCGTTTCGGGTTACACATTATTTATTTATATTAATAATTAATTGTAAATTCTTGCAAAATCCATTATTTGCCCTGCTGCATATAGTTATATCCATTATTTGCCCTGCTGCATATAGTTATATTACCATTGGATACCTCTATTTTTCTAAAATTATTTTTTTTTTCTAAATTATGATTTTGTTAATATTTTGGTCTCTCCATTCAAAATAAGCTCTTTTAATTGTCAATTGATTGAAAAAAAAATGACATTGACCTTTGTATAAAAAAAAGGATTTTAAGGTTACAACAATAAATTAGACCCTAAATTATAATCAAATTAACTATGAAGTCTCTAACTTATGATTCTATTAACACTTTGATCTATTTTGAAATTACATAAAATAAAGGAATGAATTTGGATTTAAAATTTATTTTTTATATTTTAAAAATATAAAAAAAATGGCTAAACAAATATTTAAACTCTTAAATTTGTCGAGTTTTTTTTTTTATTTGTCGATATGGAGCCTATCAAACTTTGATTTAATTAATAAACACCTAAATTGACTGAGAATAAAGGGAAACTTAATAAAATAAAAGCCTAATTTTTAGTAAAACTAAAAGATTAGAAACTTAATTTTAAGATTAGAAACTTAATTTTAATTAGTAAAAAATAAAATTTCAAGTGCTTAATAATTAGTATTTTTGATTAATTAAGCCATTATATCAACGCATGTTTAATATGCACAATTATGACTCAATCAAATAATAATTCATTTAAAAAATAAAGAATTAAAGAATTGATATCGATGGATAAAAATCAAGAATTTAATAAACTATAAGTTCTCAACTTAAAAATACATTTTTTCACCTAAAATAATTTTGAATTTACCTAAAATAAGTATTAAAAAAAACTAGTCAAATGCTTGCACGATGCGCGAATTGTACAATTTAAAAAAAAAATATTAAATAGCATTACTTTTTAACAATCATAAGTGAGTTTGTAGAGAGATAATAATAATCCGTTTTAGCAGTCAGAGAAAAGTTGAGAATATATATAATTAAAGTAAACAAATGATGAATGCATAGTAAATTTATTATGGGTTAATAATGATGAATGCATAGTAAATTTATTATGGGTTAATAATTGCTTTTTTCCAAAATGCTAATACTTTTTTCCAAAATGGTCCCGATAAAGACAATTTTTTTAAAATAAAAAAAAAGAAAGAAAAAAATACCAAAATGCCTACCACGTACTTTCCAATATGAAGACTTGGCCATTTCAGATAAGATATTAAACAAATAGGGAAATAACTACTACATATATATTGTCCGTTTTGATTGCTACATTTTCATTGGTGAAAGAAATATTGGGGTTGTTGATTAATTTGTTGTTGATTAATTTGATACGTGTTGTTTGGTTTTCCAATTCCATCACTCTCAAAATCAAAAATAGTTTAATTTTCCAGGTCTATTATTATATATACATTTTTTTTTAAAAAAAAGCAATAGATTCTACACTATTACTAACTTAGAGAAATTTCGCATTGATCTATTATTTCCTACGTACCATAATTTTTATCTTAGTCCGACTTATACATAGATTAAGAAATTTTAGCTAATATGATTAAACTATAACTTTTACTTTGTTTTTTCTTAATATATGCTTATGTTAGTATTCTATTAAAATTAAATGATCCATATTAAATTGTCTTTAAAATTAATCAAACTGTAAATTAAACATTTATTAAATAGAATTTCGTTTGAAAATTAAAGAGTTATATTCTAGTTTTTTTGTTTAAATCAAGATTTAGTTTATTGTCATATAGTAGTTTGACTATTATACTTCCTTATCTCAAAATATAAGTTGTTTAAGGTTTTTGCATAAAGATTAAGGAATCAATTAACTCTCTTAGGTTATAACAAATTCAATGGTAATTTGACCAAATTATCTTTTATCTCAAAACCAATAGTTGCTTGTAAAGTATAATTTATTGTATTTAGTGTAAACAAGAGCAACATTGAAAAAACCTCATTTATTACTTTTTAAACTACATAAAACTTTATATTTTAGGACAAAATAACATACAAAAATGATTTATATTTTGAGACAGAGAGAGTATTTAATAAGATTTAAATAGTAAACTTTAAAGATCATTCAATTTAAAAGAGAAAAAACAAGACAATAATTTGAAACGAATGAATATAAATTACACTTTCTATTTTCACACAGATTAAGAAAGTAGCAATTATTATGGCTAAATGACAATTTTATTCATATAACTTTCTTATTATGCCATCTTAAATAACACATGTAATAAACAATGAGCATTATTTATTTTGATAACAAGTAAAACTTAATAAGTTTATTGAAATAAAACTAAAATTTAAATAAAGGATATGAATTAGGCTATTTTAAAATTAAGCTACAATACAAAAAAAGAAAAGTATGACTATATTTTGGGACAAAACCAAAAGGAAAAATGGAAAAAGGAAAGAATGGACTATCTTTTTGGGACGGAGGGAGTATATAAATTTGTACTCAACACGCACAAGGGAAAAACCATAGGGTCCTATAGTAAACCTCCCAAGGGATGAGGAGATAAAATATTTGGACATAAAAGGTAGTAGCTAGTTCCGGCAAAAAAAAAATTTCCTATAGTCATTTTAAAGCAAAATAAAATTATAAAAATTAATTTTGGCTGTGGCTGCTAAAAAGTCCAAATGCATAATTTTAAAAGAGTAAATAAAGCTCTAAAAATAAATTTTTATATTTTAAACATATGTTGAGAATTTAAAAAATGGGTTTGTAATAAAAAAAAAAAAGGCCAAATTAACACATATTTTAAACTTTCTAAATTTATCGAATTGATCCATATGTCTTATCAACTTTTATTTATATTTACAGCAAATTTGAGTCACTAACCATTAACGGCAAAAATTGAATAAAAGCTAACTTTTATAACAAAAATAAAAGTTTAAGTATTTAATAGATTTAATTAAATCCTTCCATAAGCATGTGTTTAATATGCATAATATCACTTTAACCCTCAAATAAATATAGATTTAATGTTAAAAAAAATAAAAATTGAAAGAATCAATGTCCAAAAATTAATAATATTTGAACATGACCTCCTACATTAAGGAGAATTCACTGTCTATCATTATAAACTACATAATAGCTATGAATGTAGATA